ACCCAGGAAGAGCCAGGAATTGCGTATACAAACTGCTCCAGCGAATGCAAAGGAGGATGTCACGGTCCGACCGCCCGAGACTGTTCCGAGTGTGCGCACTACAGGTCAAACGGAGTAAGTCGAAGCGAAAGTCTTTACTTTTGCATCAAAACGATATATCTTGTGATGTTTCACAAGTTGTCAAAATATTTCATCTCATGAATGTCAGATGTTGGGATGCTGGGTAGCAACAACTACCTGCAGGTGCCTGAACTGTCTAACTGCAAATCCTGGCCAAAAGTCTAGTGCACACTGAAGAGAAGTGAAAAATTTAAAATTTTTTCCAATACAATGTGCAATATGAACCGACTAGAGACTAATAAGACTTTGAAATCATCATCAAATGATGCCACTTAGTTTTGAAGAAATAAAACAAACAACTGAAAAAGTATAATTTTTGTCAATGTTTGGTCTCTGACACAATTTACAAGTTGCAGGAAAAGTAGACGGTTTTAGACCACGCAAGACTAACTGCAAATATTTTTTGGCTACCTGCATAAATACAAGCATTTACATCCGTTAACTGAGAGTTAGGTGCCTTGGCCTGTGGCGTTTCATTCAGGTGCTTTGTCCAGATCTTCAATCTGTGAGCATTGTCTCTTAGGTTTGTGTAAACAAATGTCACGACAACGAATACGCCGTTGAGGCAACGAAGGATTGCAAGACTTGTTCCAACACTTGTGAGAAATGTAAAGGGCCAGAATTCAACCACTGTACTTCATGTAAAGAACCGAAGCTGCTCAAGGAAGGAATCTGCGTCAAAGACTGCACGGATGGGTGGTTTGCAAACGAGGGAATCTGCCAGAGATGCGATCCCAAGTGTCTGACCTGCAGCGGCAAAGCCATATTTTGTACTTCTTGCAAGGAGGATCATAAGCTTGAGATGAACAGGTCAGTTGGTTGGTAGGTAGAGGGTGTGCGCGTGCATGTGAGTGCAGTGAAAATTGGTAAATAAGGGGGGGGGGGGTTGCAGGCAAACTCTCATCTTTCTCTCTCACCTCCAGGTGTGTTATCGACTGCAAAAGCAATGAATACGTGTCAAATGACCTCTGTGTGCAATGCCATCTTTCATGTTTGACGTGCAACAACGGCAGTGCATGGTCCTGCACTAAATGTGGGGTGACCACAGTAAGTCGTGAAGGGGTAACACATGATGCGTATTTACACAGAGGGATGTGTATGCTGACGTGCCCCTCCGGTTTCTACGGCAGCGATCATCAATGTGTGCCGTGCGATACTTCATGCAAGCATTGCAAAGGTCCGCTGAATACTGATTGTACGTCATGTAAAGATGGATTGGTTAGAACGGACGATGGAACAGGATTGTGTTTAGATAATTGTCCATCGGGTAAGAAGACAAATTTGATACCAGAAACCAGCTTTCGTTTCCTATATCTAGCTGTATTCATTATTATCCTCCATCTTCCAGGATCAAGTCATAGGATATCCGAGGACACATGTGTGAAATGTGGATCAAATTGTAGCGCATGTGACCCTGATCATCCCTCACACTGCACGGCCTGTGGTCAAGCCATGTTTCTATGGAAACAAAAATGCGTGACGATCGACGCATGTCCGAGGGGTACATACCCTGAGGTACAGAGTTTCCGGTGTAAATACTGTCACCCCTCCTGTGCGGCATGTCTTGGTCCGCCTACCCATTGTACCGCCTGCTCAGGTTATACGTATCTCCATGGAAACGAATGTAAGGCGATTTGCCCGACCGGAACCTACGGTAGAAACAACAAGTAAGTATTACGACTGTTTTGTGCGGAAAGATTTTCAAATGATGCCATAACGAAAAGTGAAACTTTCAAACGAAATAAACTGCAACTGGATGCATTAGATTACTACCATCCTTCGACATTTCAACTGGTTCATTCCTGTAACGTGTTGTCATCGGTTTTCGTAAAAAGTTCAACAGCTTATTCTGATGATATTTCTCGCAGGTGTTTGACGTGTTATGACAACTGTTCCAGCTGTTTCGGAGGCGGTCGTAACGAGTGTTTGACGTGTGACAATGGCTTTGTCTTCTTCGAAAACAGCTGCCTGAAGCAATGTCCCGCAGGGATGTTTGCGGATAAAAGAGGACGATGTCAGCCCTGCTCGCTAACGTGCGAGGGATGTTCAGGGATAGCAACGAACTGCACAAAATGCAAAGGTAGAAATATGCCATTTCTTCGCACGCTTTTTAGAGCAGTAAACTTAGGTGTTCTCGCAACAGGAAAAACGCTTTTCATTGCAGAACATTCAAACAATAGAATACATAGAAGATAGGCTATGAAATACGTCCACAAAATAATTTAAAACATGACACTTTGACATGATCTTTCACATAGACGTTCTCTTTTTAGAGGGTTTCAGTAAAGATGAAGGAGCATGCAAGTCCGTGTGCGAAGATGGGACATTTTATAACAGCACACTGGCTTCTAAAAACGTTGGAAACAAAACACAAGATCATTGCTCAGAATGTCACGTTTCTTGCTCAGTTTGTTCGGGTCCCAGCAAGTACGATTGTCTGAGGTGCAAAGGAGTGAAGTTTAGAGATCCCGAGAGCGGATTGTGCTCGCTTAATTGTCCTGAACGTGGCTACTACGAGGATATCTCAAGTACACTGTGCGAGCCATGCCCCTCCGAGTGTCTGAACTGTGGTAAACCAAGTGTATGTTTGAGATGCGTCCCAGGCTTATGGCTCCACGAAAGGAAGTGTATACCTCATTGCCCTAAAGGATTTTACGGTGAGAATACGACGAACGCATGTGCGCCATGTAATACCGCTTGTAAAGATTGCGCTGGCTCGCCTACAAGTTGTATAGAGTGCGCTCCGCCACGGATATTGTTCAAGAACGAGTGTGTGACCGCATGTCCATCTGGGATGTTTCTATCGAAGGATTTCAACCGATGCTTGCCTTGCGATGGCTCTGTTTGACTGCGTCGGTGCTGGTAGAAGTCGCTGTACTTCATGTAGGCCAGGATTGGTCCTGTTTCAAGCGCAGTGCAGATCGAGATGCCCGACTAGGTATTACTTCAATGAATATGTCAAAAACTGTCAGCCATGTGATTACTACTGCAAAGAATGTAGCGGAGGTGAGCCACTTTAATTTGTTTGCTGTTTCAAGCCTAATAGAATGGTAGATAGAGGTCTCTACTAAGGGATATAGTTAAATATGGTTCGGAAATGTTCAAACGCTTTGTTTGTTGTTTCTAACTCAGGATTCTTTCATTTACTAGGAAACGGTCTGTCAAACTGTAGAAAATGTTTAACACCGTTGGTGCTCGAAAACAACGTTTGCGTGAGAGTGTGTTCGCCCGGTTTCGTTCTGAATCGTGCAGAACGCAAATGCGTTCCGTGTCACGCATCATGTGCCACGTGCATGGGCTCAACATTCGACCAATGCCTATCGTGCAAGGACAGTAAAGATAGTCTCCAAGGAACCGTGTGTCAAAGGTCTTGCCGAGACGGCATGTACAGAAATGACGAGGGGTCGCGGTGCGAAGCTTGTCATCCGACGTGTCGAACCTGTTCAGGCAGGGGAAAGGTCGCTTGTACGAGCTGCGACCCCAGACGTTCATTGACCCTAGGTCAGTGTTTATCCCCCTGTCCAGGCAACCAGTATAAGAACAAGGGTACATGCTACACGTGCAGTACCGGTTGCAAGACGTGCAAAGGATCGACCAGCCAGGAGTGCTTGAGTTGCCACGAAGGCAAAAAACTCTTCAATTTTACTTGCGTCAAGAACTGTCCACCAGGAACCTACGAGGGAGAGTCCAACGGCTTGCCCGAGTGTAAGACGTGCCATCCATCGTGCGCAACCTGCACGCAGGCAGGACCCGACGCCTGCACATCTTGTCGTATGGATCTTTACTACCAGGGAAGATACTGCGTTCAAGAATGCTCGATCGACCACAAACTGGACGAGAATACGAGGACCTGCAAAACGTGTAACACTGACTGCCCTTATACGAACATAACTGGACGGCGCTCAGCTCTGCTTCCTCATCAAAACGACGACGAGAATTCCTCACGGAATAAAATAGAAAACCATTTCATCTTAATCTCATTGGCAACATGCTTATCGCTGCTCGCAATATTTGCGCTTTTCGGTCTCTTCAAACCTCGCTCGAGCAAAGGCTACACAAAAGTTGAGAATAACTCCGCGTCGAGTGTTGAAATATCGAAGAACGACGTCCCAAGTGTCTACATCCGCGATGATCAGTCGGAAAGAATCGCAATGCTCGATGACCACGACCATGATCACGATCATAATGAAATGTAATCGGAATTGAAACCACAACGCCGGAATTTTCCGTATTATAGGAATTGAAGTATTGGAATATTATTCAAGAAATATTTGACTTGCTGTGTTTGCAGTGCAATCCCAAAAATACATTTTTTACAAATTTAAATTCTATATTTTAATATATTATATCAATTGGAAAACATGTCGTATCGTTTTCAATACGTGTGGATGCATGTATGTGTGAAAATAGGAGATGGTGAAAAGGCGCGTACATACACGAATAATACATTTTTAAATTTATACATATTTTGTGTCGTTTCTTTGGTCGCAAAATCGTTTGTTTATGATTCCAGTATTCCTGCATCAGACAACCTTGTACGAGATTTGTGCATTTAAAATTCCCGCTGCCTGCACTACAGATTCTATCCAACACGAGCCAATAAATTGTTTGTAAATCGCTTTGCACTTTGCTTTTATAGTTACGTTTCCTACATTTTCTTACATACTCAATTCTAATACTCTAATACCATGCCTTTTATCCGCACAACGGTCGAGTTCAGAACAGTAAATTTGTAAAGGCTTTTCCGAAGCAACATTGCGTGCATTTAATAATCCTGTTGTTAAAAATCGCGCATATTTACTGTGGAAAGTATTAAATCCCGGTAAAACTCTATATATACATTAAACATAGCCCAACTACAAAAATCCTTATTTTCCTACCTTGTAATATTTTCCTCAGTAGAACGCATCTTCGTCTTCAGAATATTGTATTAAGTCGAATTTCACTCCCAAACCGTTGAGAAATTCTCCCATAGTTAATGAATGTTCTTGGTTGAACTTCTTAAACAAATCCTGCGCAGCTTGCTGAGAGATGGAACGCCATTTTTTGATCAGTTCTTCGAGATCGTTTAGATTGTTCTGAAGGAAAGAAAGAAATGTTTTAATTCCCAACTGTTCAGCAACAAAACTCTCTTTCTGATGTATTTTATATAAATTCAGTTCCACAAATGGAGAGAGGTGAAGAGACTTCCTATACATGTGTATAGACTCATGATCTCGCTAGCACATCGTGAGAAGGTCTCGTGGATGTTTGGCCATTTGGGACGGAGGCCAGATGCCCCCTAGAAGTCATTTGCTTGCCCACATTGAAAAATTCTCGCAGAATACACGTTGCTATGTTTATGATTTTAATCTTTGTTACCTATTTCAATAAATTTGTGTTACCATTAAATATTAATCTTATCTAGACCATTATTAATTACCTTAGCTCTGTACATCTTCACCAGCTTTAACTTTCGTAACAATTCTTCTTTATCCTTTAGAATTTTTTCCAATTCCTTCGTTTTATCGTAATCCTCTTTTGAAGAACGACTACACGACTCTCTGACTCTGTCAACGTCGTCGTTCTCTACGAGGAGAAAAGTCAAAAGATAGTCATCACTAGTACATCAAACATTGCAGATCAATGAAATAAGCATTCTTGTAACATTTTGGTTAATACCTTTGCGGGCTTTGCCGTTCAACTTGGTTCTTTTACAACGAAAACTCTGCTCTGAGTCTGAGGAAGAACGTTTGCTGCTCAATGGTGAAGCAAATTGTGATGATATCCGTGGACTTTGCATTAGCATTGAAGATTTTCCCTCCTTTTTGTCCATTGCCTAGTAAAAAGTGTTTCAAAGGTCAATTTATAAGCATTTAATATGCACATATCATGATATAATACGTCCATATTTTAAAATTCGCAATAACTTGTACCTGATTCGAGATCGCCTTTCCCTTTGACCCTAGAAATATTAACAAAGGTAATGGTTACAGGACGTACAGTTATATTCAAACTTTGGAGAAGTAAAGAAGCAAATAAATCCGTTTTACCTGCAACGGGAACTTCGTCTCCTTCGTCCGCCATTTTGAATTTCCGCGCCACATTTCGCGCAATACAATTAATTAATCTGATATCCCCCCCGTGCAAGAAGCTTACAGAATATTTTCGTGTATTGTTTAGCGATTTTATGGCGGGGGGTGTAGAGTATGGAAGTTTTAGAAGACTGAAAGTCTGAAAGATTACTGAACTATACATAAATATGGTGAATGACTGAATGTTTTGAACTGAGGAAATGGATGATTTTGAAAAAAAAGAATGCCTTCAAATCTTGGATCTTCTCACATTAGATAATCTGTTATCTTTGACAGACACTGTAACAAATAGAGTCGTCAGCGCAGAAAATAAGGAAGGTATGTTTAAGACCATTAGGATGGTAAACTGATAAATAGAAGGCACCCATCAAGGCAAAATGCCAGCAAAGTTTTCGAAACTATCCAGAATAGTTTTGAACTTGATGTGTTGGCTAATCTGCTTGTTTTACAACCTGGTAATTCTTTCCAATCCCATACAACTATATTATATATTTTTTTTAAATAGAAGCGCTGAGTGCTATTATGCTCTACACAAGAAGCAGCGAAGAACTGCTCCGAAGAAGAAAAGTTAGACGGGAAAACCTCTATGAGTATCTCGCCAAACAGGGCCACATTGAGCATCCTGCTGCAGATAAAAATACTTTGCTTAGAAAGGTCTTGAAATTCTGGGAATTGAAGAAACAAGGAGTAAGTATGGATAATTAGAGACATGACTGGTAGAGAATGACCATTGGTGGAATCCAGACATGTCAGTTACTCCCATTAGAAGAAGAATCAAACTTATTTAGAAACTCTGAAAAGTCTCACATTTCATTAGGTAGATCAGCCCCAGAAGTTCATGAATGAAGTGAAATCAACATTGTAAATTTTCTTATTTTAGAAAGATGTGAAGGAACTTGGTGATACAGGCTTCATTTTAGCCCAGCCTGGAGACAGAGTAACTGTTGGCTACACTGACCCAGAAACTCAACCAGAGAACAGTGATGAAAATGGTCCAACAATGACAGTTATTAAAAGAGAAGATACCAGCCCAATAAATATTACAACAAGTGAAGATAATAGTTCACTTACCTCCCCAGAAGAAAAATCCTCAGAAGCCAGTGAAAGTCAAGATCTTGCTATACACTTCTCTTCTTGGTTTTATAAACTGCTCAATTCTTTATCTTCAACTCCTGGGACAATCCCAACAGACTGGGGACCACAGCACTTCTGGCAGGATGCAAAGCTTATGGTGCAATGTAACGAACCCTCTGGCCTTCAGGAGACCACGGTGGACAGCGCTAATCTTGTAAGCGAGAAGTTTCTCTCAATGGTCGTCGTTGATCGATTGTGCTTCAACCCCAACCTCTCTAACGACAGCATCAAAGGAAAACGAGATTCTCATGGACTCGTGGTTGTTATGGTTGGTGGAACTGTGCATCGTGGGAAAGAATACTTGGGCGTCTTTGAGCAATCCTTCGGACTTATTCGGGATCCAACTGAGGAAAATAACTGGAAAATTAAGTTCTCAAAACTTATGTTAAAAGCATCAGGTTCATGTCCTAACAACCGGCTGGAAAGCCCAGTAAATCAGGTGCAAGGACCTCTTTGATGTAAATATACAGTTTTCCCCGGGTAGATTTAGTTGATGTGGCCAGTCAAATGTAGTTTCAATAAAAATTAGTTATATACATTTTCCGGCTGTGACTGTGTGATATGTAAGTCTGCGCAAGGTTGAATTGCGAGCAAGAGTTTCTTTGCACTCATTTTGAACGAAAAAACTTGTGTTTTCTTTCGTCAGATCTTGACTTGGGTATCCCTGGTTGTATTTTGAAAATTTCTCCCACCAAACCTTGAAGCAGCTGAAAAATGTTCCGCCAAATTTCGGGTGAAGACGCCGTAGAATAGACGAATAAACTAAACTACAAATAGCGAGTCTTCCTTTTACCGATTGATAAAATTATATATAAACTATTGAATTAAAAAAACCCCATAGTTTATATAATTTATATAATAAAGTATTTAATAAAAGTTCCTAACTCTTATCAGAATTTCATAAATGGCTTAAATATTTATAAACTAGCTTATCTCTTGACGATAGGGCGCAAGTAGTAATCGAGAACTATTGCATATAATGGTTGAGTCCACAACCGTCACTTTGTGGCTCAGTAACCTTTGCTAGATTGTATTCTTCTTTCTGTGACGTCAAACGCGGGAAGCCTGATGTAACACGAAGTTTGATTGGCTCCGCAAAACTAACGAACCAATCAAACTTCATGTAACATATCTGCGTCATTGATGTGCTCTATATTCTAATATTTCCTAGACTATATTGATTTTATAAAGTTCCTTTCTAAATCTGTATTCATTGGGGTCATATTGAACTTTTGCGTCAATTGTAAAACAGACTTATATCCTGCTGATAGAACAGACATGTGCTCAAAAAATACATCTTTCTCCACTTGAATCGTCAAATTATTTATGCCAATTTCTTTAAAAATATTCGTCACCTGCGGCGGGAAACGAAACGCATTTATATATCTTCGAAATTTCCTCGTGAAAAAAATCGCGACATTTCTTACCTGCGATATTATAGTCGCCTCAATGGCGGTCGGGACGACGTGAACTTGAATACTACCTGCTTTCAGGTTGTCAGAATGCGTCCAAAAATGTTGATTTCGGTAATTCGAAACTCCTTTTATCGTCAAAACCTAACAGATAAGCGGAAATTCATGGGATCCCCAGGGAAATTTCGATTTATGAGAGGGGTCAGGGGTGTACACCCCGTAGACAGAGGTGCCAGACCTTGGTCACCAAGATTGTAGAAGTTTGAAAAGTTCATCAATCAGGAATCAAACCTCGCTTAATGTTAAACAGCTATGCAATGAGATAGACTCAAGGCAACCTGCACTATAAGAATTGACGTTTTAAGATTTTGCAATAAAAGTCATCTGCTCAAGGAAGATTACCTTCTTCAAAGCTTCTCCAATCTCAGATTGAATATCTCTCGGCGTTCTCAGAGCAAGAACTAATGCAGATTCTTTCAACAACGGAACTACGCTAGCGAATATTAAGACAGCGATAAATAACGAACAGACAGGGTCAGCTCTTTGGAAACCAAACTGTTCAATGAGTAGACTGGATATAATCACTCCTACACTCCCCAGAGTGTCTGCAATAACGTGGAGGAATACCCCTGGAAAATACCAAGTAAAATTGGTTATTTCGGACACACGTGATAAGTATTTATTGCCGAATACTACCCACAGTGCTCCTGCCAAGATACACCTTACCTTGCATGTTAGCACTGGTCTTGTGAGAGCCGTGACCATCAGAGCAACCAGCATGACCATGTCCCTTATGACTGTGACCATGATTATGACCATGCTTATGACTATGACCATGCTCACTGTGGTTGCTATGACTACCATGACTGTGACCATGGTGACCAGCACCATGACCATGCGACTGACAACTTGATTCACCACCATGTGACCCCACGCCGTGGGAATGCGCATGACTGAAGGCGAAAATACCAGCCAAGTTCACCACTAAACCACATACTGATACAATCTAGTTTAGAGAAGAAACGCGCGCAGTTCAGACACGAACCAGGACAGTTTATTGTTGCAGAATACCACTAAACACTGACCTGTCAGTGACTACAACTAAACTAACGCAAGGTGGTATACATGAATTTACTTAATGGTTTCCATGTTTGGATGGCGGTTCGACCAATCAGAACACGCGTTATATACATGTTATTTTATAAATACAAATTCAAATCATTACCAATAATCTATTCGTAGTCACTTCAGGCGGATCAAACAATCTTTCCAGTGCTTCTAGGAAGACAAATACTGAAATAACGGTCAAAAATAAGCCATTGACGAACCCAGAAAGATACTCCACGCGTCCATAACTACAACAAAAAACAAGAGTTACCATGACTTCTCGCATGGAATACAACCCAGTTATGATGAAGTTACTCTTGCTAACAAATGAGTTCAATAAAAATCTCACCCGTACGAAAACAGTTTGGTTGGCTTCCAACTGCTCATCAAAGATGCACACAGACCCAAGACGAGCGCCGAACAATCAAATAACATGTGAAAACCATCTGATATTAAACCAAGACTGTTATTCCAAGCCCCATAGAACAGTTCAACAAATGTGAATGTCTATAAAAGACGATTTTACTGAATTCAGACTTGAAACAGACTTAACAGAGTACCGTAACAGACAAAAAACGACTCAGTTTGTACCTACCAAATTCAGGCAAAGAAAATAAAAGATCTGTCTTGATTCAGTTTTTGCCAAAACTTGTTTTAAAAATACCCTCGCTGTTGCAATAACGGACTGAGGTGAAGTGAAACTATACAAAGGAGTTCCACTGGTCGTGTAGCCAATCAGAATTCCTTTATTCACCCCTTGTTGTACTGGAGAAGGTCGAGATAAAAGATGCGTCGCTAGAGTAAAATTAACATTAACTTATTTATACTGGATTAACCCATCGTTTTTAAACTGTTCTTCCTAGAGGTCCAGTAAGGATCATCTCTTATTGATCCAGTGTCACTACAGGAGGAAACCTAAACTAAACCAACTTTATTTATACTGGATAACTCAATCAGTTCTAAACTGTTCTTCCTAGAGGTCCAGTAAGGATACAATAATCTATTTATTACCGATAGCTAAAAACAGGACTGCAAGAACGACACTTCCAGACATGCCATGCTCGTCAAACGCATCTTTGCTAAACGGGAATATATAAGTTGCAATATGATGATCATTCCACAGCAAACCCAAGCCAAAAGCTGCAAGAAAGGACACGATTGATCCCCATTTGGATGTTTTGTTTGAGTCAAGTTTTGCCATACATATGGCTTCCACATAAAAGTCGAAAGCAATAGCGAAGGAAATTAGGAGAAATGAGAGAAGTTTGTCCATCCAAGGAACATCTGCTTCCTGTTGAAAAGATAGATTTGTTTAAAAAATTACTCTATCACCATACTAAAATTCAGGTCTGTTCACACAATCCAATTTTGTCAGATCCAATTCACTTCTGATGGATGTTTAATGCCTGTTTTCCACTAGCGATATTTTTCGCGCGAAGCGAATTTATTCCTTTGTATTTGAGTGTCGTTTCGCGCGAAAATTATCCCTAGTGGAAAACCGGCTTTATAGTCTATTGACTTGCAATATATACAGACAAGTGAATGCAGTATTGCTTTAACAATAATAGGCTACATTCCATACATCAGAAGTATGTACATCAGAACAATGTTTTACAGATAAATTGACCATTACAATAAGTAGCATGTTGTTCCTTACTTTGAAAATGAAAATTAAAATAGCAGGTGGAAGGAGAAACAAGACAGAGAGGAAGTTTGTCAAAGCATTGAATCTTTTAGATCCTGTCGAAGAAAATAAGACACAAATGAAATGACATGTGATGATCACAGAAGAACTCAGAGAATGAGTATCTATTCAGTCACCTCCAATCTCAACAGCAACTTTTCTTCCATAGCTTTTGTTGCCAACATTGAAAAGCAAAACAACAGTCAGAAGCAGCAAGCCTCCCTTGAAAACAATATTTGAAAATTATGAAATAAGTTAAATAACACTGCCAGATAGACAGATTTTCTAGGCTAAATAGTAAAAGGTTGAATAGTAAAAGGTTGAATAGTAAAAGGTTGAATAGTAAAAGGTTGAAGAGTAAAAATTTCAAGTGTAATAATGTACCAGGTGTTGAAAACTGGAATAAAAACATGTACCTTATGATCTGACAGTTGTGGAAACCCTGGCAATGAGAGTGTTTTCCATTGGTAAAGATAATGAACGAGGTGACTACGATGCACTCCTTCAGCTGTTCATAAATTGTCAAGGATTTCTTCATATTTTAAATCCCCAATCTAAAACAGTTTCTTCCCAATCCTTTGATGCCCAGAACTTTTAGAGGGATAGGGGACTTTGATGTTTGAAAGAAAGCATTGATGGAGTGGGTACTTTCAAAATGAGTACCCTTATTAGTAGGGTGAGGTATAGACACGTCCACCCCAAATCTACCCAGACCTATCTTCACAAGTGATATATCGCTGAAAGGATACGATGAACATCTTCAGACGTCATTTCATCATTATCAAACAGGAGTAGGGAAATCATGGCAAAAAGAAACAGCAATGCTCCCCGTGTCTATAACAACAAGAATATTTCAACATCTCATAACTGATAACGCTGAAGTATACTATCTAATTTGTCTGAGAAAACGTACCTTGGTTGGTCCCGGATGACCGGTCTTGAACAGAACAGCCAAAACACCAAAGACAACAACATCGCTGTGCTCTGATAATAGGACAGTCCTGAAATTTCATACGCAAGATGGGGAGAAATAAACTTCAATTATATCTTAAAACCATCATCAAAACCAAAGAGTTATGAATAAGCTTACAGCACAGACCAAAAGTATAGAAAAAGAAATGACTGTCATACCTGACTGGACCACAAAGAGTTAATCCATCCAGAAGTAATAATGATAATAATGTGGAGAAGAATGCATGTCTGGCTACTTGGTACCACTAGGTTAGAAATATTATGGTATTCAAATAACATAGATATGTGAACTAATACAGAACTGTGTTATTTATGCATCTATTGGTTTGTCAAGTTGCCTGTACAAATATCAACTGACCTGTGAGGTTGTCAGTCGTTTCCCAGATGACAATGGTTTTTGTAAAAGAACAAACACAAGAGATGAACTACAAAAAAATTGATCTACTATAAATGCATGAATCAACTGCATAATAAAAGAGATGAACTACAAGAGAATTGATCTACTATAAATGCATGAATCAACTGCATAATAAATAATAAACATGTATGTTAACATCTTACTAATCCAAGCTAATTCTACTCAAAAGGGTTGTGATCATTGTGACTCACCCTTGTGCACCAGTTACCAGTGTAAACAGTATTAAAACATAGGTACATTTATGATTTATACAAGTTAATGGCTATCTCTCATAAGGCAAAGATACATAAGATATGGCTTACCAAGCACGGACAATGAACAAATACTGCACAATATGTACACTTTTTAGCAAATCGTGTGAGAGAAAGAAGCCGTAGACATGAAGAATCTTTGATACGATCAGAAAACACAAATATGGCGCTGAACTACACGAGAAAAAACACAGTTTTTAAACATGATGGAGCCACGACTTTTGCTAGATCGTTAAATGAACACAGAGTGAAGATTTGAAGTACCTTAGACCTGGTTCAATACGACCAAAACCTTTATTCTGATTCAATAAATTTCCACTGAATCTTTCTCTCTCCATTTCAATGACATGTTTGTTGAATTGTTATGAGTTGGCATTAGCAAGTGTTATACTTCATGTTGGCCGACATAAACGTCTTGCATGTATGTTCGCTGATCATGAGGTAGCCAATCAGCTGTCGAGGATGCCGTGTTTTTGAGATCAACCAATAGGAATAGACGTAAACAATTGCGAAAATTGGCGATAATTCACGGAGGTTCTTGGGGGTAATAGGGGTTAAAGAGAGGGCCTCGGTGAGAGAAGTACTGGCTGTACTGCACAATAATTAACAGTGAGTTTTCTCCAAACATCTATGAAACATCTAAGGAAATATGAACTTGATTTGATACGATTTTATATCCTAAACACAAAAGTTTAATGTCTTGCTAATCAGTTCCATTGGCGAAGGCTATTTGATAAAAAAAACGTCAACTAATGTTTAATTATTTCCAGGTAATTTAAAAGTAATTAAACGACAGCTAACTAACATGTTTTGACTTCACATTTTAAACGGATATCGATTGACAAAAACCTTTTAATGGATCAAAATTTTCTCGTTCTTTTACGCCGAGCGGTTTCCTAAAATTAGTTCTTATGTGAGCGAACAAGCAAATAAGATTCTCTTTAGCTCCTATTTCTGGAGGAACTGTGACGTAATGGGAACGGGTGATCAAATCTTTGCTCGGTCAAAGACAGGTGAATACACTAGGAAAACAATAACGGAGAAAACACAATGAATGCTTAATGAGTTAAGATTACCGAGAAAATATACGGTTGCCGTTGAAACCAAACATGTCCGTTTAAACATCAGGCTCTGGTCTCCTTCGTAGCAATGAGATGGTCAACAAAGGGCCGGCCGGTCGGCCTTATTTGAGGACGTTAGGATTACTACTTGTGATCAGTCTTTATCTTCGATGTTCTTCTACTGAATCAGAAAAGTTTAGATCCAAACGGGAGAAGATTTACACGAATGGATGGGCGGTGAAAGTCACGGGCGGATTTGAAAACGCGAAGGTTATCGCCAAACGACATGGCTTCGCAAAAGTCGAAAAGGTTTCGGATGAATTTCACTCTTATTATTGCCGTAAAATTTTATATTGTCAACTATTTGGGAGTAAAGATCACCGGTGTAAAATCTATTATAATAAGTCTGGCCGACATCGTATTGAAAACTGCATTTAGTTTAGTTTTCAATCAGCGTTCAGTGTTAAATAAGAGTAAAATAATTGAAGAAACTCGACGGATATATGAACGAGAAAGTTATAAGGTGTAGTCGCGCCATAGACCGGCCTTAATTCGCAGGCAGGTACCAGTCAAGGAGTCCATAGGATCCATTATAAGGAACAATATTATTTTCTTATAACAACCGGAATATTATAACATATCCGGGTTAAAGACAAGAGATGTTAGATTATCTGTAATTCAGTCCCTATATACGTACAATCATCGGGTAGACGGGGCCTTTGAGAGGAGGAGCCTGGGTGTGCTAATGCATGGCTGCCGACCGTAAAATGTCTGAGTGGTTAGTTGTTTTTTACCCGGCTCGATCGCTCTAGCGGCACGATCATGCAAGGCGAGATTGTTTGCTTAGAATTTCCTCTTTAAATTTCCTCTGATCTGCTATCGTGTGCTAGACAACAACAGGACACCCGTAATGTAAATGGCACCGCATGAGATTTTTCTGAAGTTTAAACGCCTTGGTTTAAATAGTTCCATGAACTAATTGCTTTGTGGAATCAATTTAAATTTAGTTTACCGATCTAGTTTAGCTTTTAATTAGTTACCATTTGCTTCGAATTATGCGGCGTGTCCCTAGAAATTACAGTTTTGGTAAAGGTTATTTCCTACAGCCGTTTTTAGCTTCACTAACTATAGTGATATCCTTCTTCTTCAGATCGGAACACTTGAAGATTATTATCATTTTGAACACCCAACACATCCGAGACGATCAAGACGCAGCGCTGATGAGATGACAGACTTACTTCACGCCCACCCAAACGTAAGTGGCAACAAACCACACGATTTTCAAAGTAGAGTAATTTTGTTTTAGTACTGCAATTTTCATATTCGTTGTCTACATGAGATTAAAGCGAAGTCTGTGCAAGATAATTTATAAAGCATTAGATTTTCTATCGTAGTAATGCCTCTTCAGTCTCTAAGAGCTGTTGAGAAGCTTCCTTGAAGCCTATGAATACTGACCATCCGTGATATTTCAATATTTAGGTTCACTGGGCAGAACAACAACACGAGAAAATCCGGGTAAAACGGGGTGCATATCACGACGCCATGGTCAAAAGACATGCTCAGGTGAAATTTAGGGATCCTTTGTGGAACTTTCAATGGTACTTGGTAAGTTTGAGGCGCACGTCCTCTTAAACAGAAAGAAATGGAAACATCTCAACGAAAATATGTATGTTTGTTTATCATGAGTGCTGTGACTGATGTCTCAAGTTTGAAGTAGTTGACACACTGACAGATTATAGCCCCTGAAACGGTCAAAACGTTCTGCGAGTTTATCGCGATTTCTATTTAGATTTTGTTCATTCGAAGCCACATTTTAAGATTTAATCTTTCTTGTTTAAACCAGGACGACACACGAAAAGGTTTTGATATGGATGTTCACGTTATGTCAGTGTGGAGGCAAGGCATTACTGGGAAAGGAGTTGTTGTCACCATACTGGATGACGGTAAGACTCGACGAAAGCCGAATGATTGAAAATAATTTGAGATTTTGAGTTCTCTTACACGCGTTCACCATCTAATTCTTCGCTTTCAAAGGTGTTGAACATAATCATACGGACTTGATGCGGAATTACGTAAGTTGACAACGTTGTATATTCTGCTGTTATTCTTCCGTGTCTTTGACAAAAGGTTTGAAAAAAAAGAAAAGCTTTCATCTTGTGTTTTGCATCGTAGGATCCCGCTGCAAGTTGGGATGTGAACGGAGGCGACCCAGATCCATTTCCAAGATATGATCGTACAAACGAGAACAAGTACGGAGATTTGAACTACTTCTGTTGTTCACACGAACTCGGATTATATTTCATCAACTCCGGTCGAAATATATTTCTCCCTTCGCTCACTCATATTATCCTCAATTATACCATCAGGCTAACGGCCCTTGTATGATTGAAATTTTCATTGATTAACCAGATTTACAGCTTTATTCTTGATTTTATGCATCTGACAAAGCTCTTCTTTGCAGACACGGAACGCGATGTGCAGGAGAGGTTGCAGGCCAGGCGAATAACCATAAATGTGGGGTCGGAGTGGCTTTTAATGCTCGCATCGGAGGTAAATAATGTTGGTCAGGTCCATGGGCATAGCCAACCCCCCCCCCAAAAAGTAGGGGGTTAACAGTCAGTGTGTGAAGTAATGCTTGTTTGAGTTTAATTTAGAACCGTTTCATTAGTTTTAAACGCTTTCAAAACATTGTCCCTTTAGGTGTACGAATGTTGGATGGTCGCGTCACTGACAAGGTCGAAGCAGAATCTCTCAGTCTCAATCCTCAGTACATTGATATATACAGCGCAAGCTGGGGGCCTAGTGACGACGGGACGACAGTTGAAGGACCGGGAACTTTAGCAACGGCAGCCTTTTTAAACGGGATCAAAAAGGGTCGAGATGGAAAGGGCTCCATCTTCATTTGGGCGTCAGGAAACGGCGGACGTCACGACGACAGCTGTAATTGTGATGGATACACGAACAGTATTTATACATTGTCGATCAGTTCGTCGTCGGATCACGGAGAGTCGCCGTGGTATTCCGAAGCGTGTTCGTCGACACTCGCCACTACATTCAGCAGCGGATCCAGAGGAGAGCTTAAAATAGTAAGGAAAATAAAACTGTCCAGCCCGTAGTTAAGACGCTCACACAAACCACAGAGGATACTCTTTGTAGAATGTTGTGTACTTTCTTTAGACTGTCACGCCTGCGTGTTTTCAGCTCGTTAAAAACACAAACAAAACTCCATTCTTACAATCCATCATGTTTTGCTAGGCGACAACGGATCTTCATAATCAATGCACCGAAAAGCACACAGGAACGTCAGCATCGGCCCCCCTGGCAGCTGGAGTCATTGCTCTAGCTTTGGAGGCAAAGTAAGTGGTCTACAGGGGGGTGTATAATAATCACGCAAAGATTGCACAGCGTGCGAAACAAACCATATCACTATACTATAATGCCTTATGCCTGTTATGAATGCCATCTGGACAGCTGAGAGTATCTTGAGTTTAGTATCTTCACATTAACAATGTTTTTTTGCAGCCCCAACCTCACCTGGCGAGACATCCAGCATATTGTGGTATGGACGTCAAAATGGCGACCATTATCTCATGACACGGACTGGAATGTAAATGGTCTTGGAAGACACGTGAATCTCAAGTTTGGTTTTGGTCTCCTTGACGCTCACGCCATTGTTGCTCTGGCCAAGTTCAAGAAGAAAGTTCCGGAGAAAACGATTTGTCATGGACAGATCAATCAGGATAGAAAGTGAGTGAAAAATAAACACGTTTGGTCACACACCATCAGTAGTCAACAGAAAGAGGTTAGGAAAGCTAGATTTTCTTGTCAATGATTCAAGACAATGGTTTACATGAACGGGAAAGCTTTTGCCAGCCCCTATGCAAGTTTTCAATCGAATCGCGCAAGAGCGGGAATAACTATTCAATTTGACTCACTTGTAGACCAATCCTTCATGACAAAGGTTTGGCTGTAAAGATCAAAGCAAACGGCTGTCAAAGCAACCAGGATGAGCTGCGTTATTTAGAGCACGTTCAGCTCGTGCTAACCCTGGACTATAGTCGGAGAGGCGATCTAGCCATAGATCTCACTTCTCCGATGGGAACAAAATCCCGGCTACTATCCCCGCGGGGAGAAGATCTCTCTGACGAGGGCTTCATGAAATGGCCGTTCATGACGACGCATTCCTGGGGTGAGGATCCTCGCGGGATCTGGACATTGGAGATAAACGACGAAGGCGATTCCCGCGCGAACCATGGCATGCTAAGGGAGTGGGGATTAGTCTTGCACGGTACGAAAGATAAACCACCCTATCAACGGGTTAGACACCCGGATAAACCCCGCCCGACCAAGCCTGTCCCCCCACGCAAACCAAACCACATGGGCGACAAACCCCCGGATGGCCCCACGTACACGTTTGGCCCGGCGCCAAATTTGCAAACTATCAAATATAAACCTTTGAAAGAACACGCTAAGAGTCAAACCCAGCAGAAGCCAGCTGAAAACATTTATCGCGAAGCAATGTCTGAGACCAGAACTAGCATACCCCAGGCGCCAGCTTGGAGCAACAGCTACCAGCAAAACCTCGCGCCTCAGACACCGCCCATCGCCTCATACGAGACGGTACAAAGCCCCGCGTACAATTACCCGAGTCGGAGTTTTGGTACCTCGGATGTTAATGCCCCGTATTACGGGCAAATGCAGCCAAGACTCGCATATGATAGATGGAATAGCAACTACATGAATTACCCTTCGAAAACGTACAACACTTATAATTATTTGAGATCTAGACGAAAGCGAAGGTCTCTGGATTAAAATAAAATGTGCCAGGTTGTACATTTCTAAAATAAATGTGTATAAAACACCTGTTTCCCAAATAAAAACGTTTTTCAATTGTAATTTCACAAGCATTCTTGTACCTTGGCGCGTCGAGTACCATACGAGCTCCGGGAGCGAGTTTTAGCTCCGTCTCGGGGACTTATCGCCGATAGTCGATTGTGAGCCTTCCCATGATCCGGTGCTTCTTTGTCTGACTTGGACGAGGGAACTCTGGGACTGGGTTTGGTATTTGACAGCGTTTGAAAAGTCACGACCGGGGGCTTGGGCTCCACGATTGGCGCAAGTTCGTTGCATTTGAGTGACGTGTACACAACGATTTGGTTCTGGTTCATGCGCAGTTTGGGCAGACTAGGAGGCATGTGGTGCCGGGTTTTCGGCTTGTAAAACTTACCTAAAACAAATTGGAAAATGAAATTATATTATCTGAGTGACCTCGCGAGCAATAGCATAGGACGGCGAACAGTTCAGAACGGATAGAGCTATTCAGGTAGTGAATTAAAACTTCTCAAATATCGAGTTTCAAACCTAAAAACTCACCTAAAATATTATTCATATCGATGCGACATTCCGCCTCGCGCAGGGTCGCACTTTTTGTCGCACTGGACTCGCGTTCATTACCCGCACTTTGTCCAACCTTGGGACGAACAAGCGTCAGTCGCCCTGCCGCTTGTAAAAAGCTCTTAGCGATGCTCCAACGCTTTCGTGACGAAGACTGCATCAGTCTCAAGGAATTTGCTGATGCAGCTCTCTGTAAGTCAAACGGCACCTCACCATCACCTTCCGCCGCTAGATTCCAAAAAGTACGCTGACCAAACGTACCAACATATTGTCCATTCACGCGCCACAAACGCAACGAGCAATCGGTGGACGCCGTAATCATTAATCGATACCTCGGAACGTAATCGATACTTATGATTGGTTGTAAATGCGTCCGCAAGCAAAATACCAGCGGAGGTGGTTTGGTGTTAATACTTCGCTTGGCCTTGTTCTCCGAGAAGTTAACATATCTACGATTTTTGCCCCCGGATGTTTCTTCCACACTACGGTTTTTATTCCCGGCTTGTGTGTCCACATGATCTTCTCGTATGCAGTACTTTTTAATGTTCCATATTTTGATATAACCCTGAGTATCCCCAGTCATCAACAGTTCGTTATTTTCATTGCTGGTCATACACAGGATCGATTCACGGTGATTATTCGAGGCCATAAACTCGCCCGCAAGCCCGCCCCCAAACATGCACCAGGCTCGGATCCAGCCTCCGCAACCGGTGCTCAGCAGCGTGGCCGTGTCGGTTGCATGGGTACGATTTTGCAGGAACAACACACAATCCACCCCAGAGTCGTGGTCTGTCTCTTTCACTTTCACCTTTAAGACGGAAGTCATATTGTAGTGAATGAAAAACCGACTCAAACCGAGCATTGGACAGCGGTCCTTAGAGCTTCAAATCTCACCCTAATACAGAGAGGATCAATGCTTTTTCTTCTCGCGATGCTGGCCCGACGCAAGCCGACGCTGGAGCGACGACGATACGAGAAGCTTTTACTTCTTCCATATTTCATGACGGGCTGTTGATGACGCCACAATCATCCTCGGCCTTTTCCTGAGCTTCTTGTCTCTTCAAGTCAGTGAAGATCACGTTGTTCACCATTATCTTTAACCAAAAAACAATTATTGATCCAGTGTTACTACAGGAGGAAACCTAAACTAAACTAACTTTATTTCTACTAGATAGCTCTATCAGTTCTAAACTGTTCTTCCTAGAGGACCAGTCTTCCTCGCCCCAACACTGTGATGTTCGTACATACATTCTTCTTGAGGTCCGTAGGAATACACGACGCTCGACGCCGTCGTGGGTAATCGTTCGCATTCAGAACGCACGTCACTTGAAATGTTTCCAGACTCCAAACTTTAATATCACCGTCATAACTGGATGTAGCCAGAGTCCCCGTACCATAGAGGTCGATGGAAAGAATATCGTCTTTGTGGAAATTTTTCCATACTCTGGGATCGCATTCCTCCTGAAGAAAAAAAAGATTTATATCAGACACACAAAATGACTGCAATTTGGCCTTTGAACATTTTCGTGAGACTGATATTGTCTATATTAAATTGAATCCCATCAGGTGGCCCGACGCAAACCCGACGCTGGAGCGACGACGATACGAATTCTAACCTCGTCGCTTCTAGAGTCCTTGTAGATCGCTACTTTCTTCGACCATCCAACTGTAATGATCCTCTGTTTCGTACACACAATCCCCGTAATCTCCTCATCATCCACAGGTGTCAACGTCCTCAAACAATTGCCGTTGTTGAAATTCCAAATTTTCACCGAGCCATCCCGGGCGCCTGTGGTAGAGGTTGCATATTATGCTAATTATCTTGAACGTAGAATGGAGTGGGCGTAGTGTGTAAGTTAGCCCCTCTCCTGTCTCCCTCGTTTAACTTCTGGGACCCTGGTGATAATAAGACAAGCTCGGAAACAATGCAATACCTGTTACTAGTCTGCGCAGACTCTGATCAAAACACATGGCTGTGATTTCTGACTTCGGATGCGCATTTGAAAACTGGATGACTTTCTCGCCAGTTTCGAGACTCCAGACAATCACAAGAGACGCATGACAGGCACTGACTACCTGATTAAACAAACTGTTGTATAACGCTTTACAAAGCGGTTTGATGTGACTGCTTCGCTCCTTCTTGTCGTCTGAGCTTTTCTCTGAACCTGCCAAAATGAAAAACTCTCGGATTTACTGAACAAGAGCCAAACTCTGGAAATATGACGAGAAATGACACAATGTTCCGATCCTGGCTCACGTTTGACGGACGAGAAGCCGATAAACCAGGCAACGTTGTTTTCATGCAGGGTTTTCATATCAAACATACCTTTCTTCTCAAGAGCGAACAATACATTCGTGCCCAGTAACAGCGTGTGGTTCTTGGCATTAAAGTAGATACTTGATATAACAACAGGGCCTGGCGTCAGCAGTCGGCTGGGGATTGTTTGTATACAGCAGACGTCACGAATATCCCAAACCTTCAAAACCTACGAAAGAATTACAAATGAATAAACCCCGTAATCTACTACTAGGGTACCGCAGCTGGAAATTAAACTTAATCCACTTTTTACCGTCCAGATGACAAGAAGAAGTTGCTTCTTCTAAAGGAATAAATCAGACAGGGATTTGCGCAAGAGTTTTATTTTACCAAGTTCACTTTCTTTGGGAGGAAGGGGCATTCATTCCCCAACTAGTTACAGGTATATTATCATCGTACCTTATCTTGGGATACGCTGATGAATTGACCGTTCAAACCATTCACTTCAATATGGATTATAGCAGAACAGTGACCTTTGAGGGTAGATGTGGGTTTTGTGGTCAGATAGGGATTCCAGAGGCGAACATAATGATCTATCCCACCGGTGACAATCACATTCCACGTGCTGCAATAATCGAAACACAGGACACCCTTGCGTATATTGATATACGAACTGATACGTTTCCTCATTGCGTCACCAATGTACAGCGATCTGTCGTTCGTCGTTGCGCAGGATATAAAGCATTGCAGGTTCGGGTAGTATTTGACTTTCTTCACCCAGTCATCGTGCGGGCTGAACTGCATAGCCCGCACATTCGGGTGTAAGCCTTTCACCAGCTCTCTGAACATGATACGACAGTACGACGCCATTGGCACGCCCTGGTTTTTCGCCACATGAATATCAAATAGACCTGAAAAGAAACGAAATGTAAATATTCATCGACCATAACCCGGTGTTAAAAACAATTCCAGTTCAATACTACGAGAACAGACGAAAGCAGGTAGAGCCAGGAAATAGGAAATAAACAACAACAAATGTGGAGGACTTACCTGTAGTTGCTGACGAGAAAATCAAAACATAAACTTGTCCATTCATGTCACCGAAATACACGCGCTTTCGTTGTAGTTTTCCGGGTTATACCAGTAGTCCATGCAGAGCACGGAATGCTGGAACCCGCAAACAACAAAATGCTTCTCGAAGTTGTTCGCGGCGCAGTCGTAAAAAGCAATATCTCTTTCGGTCGTGGACACTGCTATTTTCTTTACGTTCGCCAGGACAACGCAATCAGTCACCCAAACGGTTTTGTTGCCCTTGGAGGAATTGTAGTGCCCTTCGTTTAACAAGATTGAACGCTGAAGGTTCAGGTCCATGTTCCAAAATGTCATCACCCCATCTCGACTTACCGCTACGTATCTGGAAAGACGCAAATTACGAGCTTTTGCAAATCAATTACATGTTGGCAACAAGCCTGCAACAAGTTCGCAACAAAACGAATCTGGGAAAACGAGTCTGTCACAAGCCTGTGTATAAATTGTCTAACATGTCCGAGGTCGGTCGATTGAAGGGATAAGACTTGTGATTTAGAGTTACCTTCCCGAGCTCCCGTCTGCAAAATCTTCAGGTCCGTACGATATCTTCGGAAAATACGAGATACGTACGAGCGTATCCCGATGACTGCTTTGCAATTCTCGCAATGGATTCGGAAACGGGGCATCAACTCCGAGCTCACTGAAATAGAAACAACTTGTTTGAAACAATTGCAGTTGGTAAAATAGTTTCCTATGACACATTTCAATGAATATAACCGAGCGAGGTAAAATAGTTTCCTATGACACATTTCAATGGATATAACCAAGCAAGCCCCATAATAATATATAATATATAATAAATAATTGCAGTTGGTAAAATAGTTTCCTATGACACATTTCAATGGATATAACCAAACAAGCCCCATACAGTTCCCTTGTTTATAAGGGAGTGAGGATGATATATAGAGAAGTTTTTTTTTATTCATATTAGAAGCTAAGAATGCACACCTCAGACCCTCACCTGCTCATTACATCTTTCAATTGATTCTCCATCAGCATGTACGAACAAAACTCTTCCCAATCCACCGTGCCGTCGCAATTCGCGTCAACCTTCATGAAGATAATCGCTAGTTCCTCCTCATCAGGCAATATCCCGCCCTTATTGGCGATGATTCTCTTCAACGCCTCCCGGAATTCATCCAAATCAAGTCCGCCCCCTCCGTCCTCGTCCGCCTCCTCGAAGATCCGTTCTAGCAGCTCCAAGTCCTCGTGGTTCATCTGATCCTCCAGACGATTCTTCATCGCATTAGGATGAAAAGGCTTGCTCCCAGGGACAACTTTCGAGTTCTCCTCGGGCCCCACTTGAGAGCTGTTATTCCGAGAGGGTCTATCCTCGTATAGTTCGTCCACACTTGACGTCGTAGACATTTTGAGTTAGCGTATTCGGGGCTGACAACCCGCTACATTTTTCGCTTTACTTTTTTTCTCAAAACTTTTACTAAAGCGCTCGCGTTCCCACATTCGTGACGTAATTAATGAAACATTACGTCACTGCGCGCGCACAGCATTGAGAAACATTTAAACCCTGGGGATGAATGGAATTGACTTGTTTTGTTTTGTAAACAGCGTGATATTTACTTTGAAAAGGTTCTCATTTTGATTGCCAGATATTCCCCAGTGCAAATATGCATGGTGGGTTATCTGCAGGAACTACTAAAAAAGCTGTGTGTGTGCTATACTAAATATAGAGTTCATTTTGTTTCCAGCTATTCTCTAGAGTTGCAAAAACAACAGACATCCCGTCTGAGAATACGGCCGTTCTATTTCTCGAAGCACCTTAGCAGCAGCAGCAGCAGCGGTCGGTTTTCGTGTCAAAATTAGCAAAGCTATTTTGGCATGTGAATAAAGTTGAACTATAATCCGACAACTGCATATTGCTTGCAATATCGAAATCGATAAACCGACACCAGCATGACTTGAAGACGATTAACTATGAAATGGTAGAGATATCGACCAGATCATCTACGTTAAAACTCGTTGCCAATGGCCTGGACATTAATCTTGTGAGTCGCTTATTCTTTGGTTTAAAATTTACTCACTTCAAAACCACAATATATTCAGTAACTACAGTAAATCTGATATGATGGTAAAATATCTGGGAGTCAATGTCCTTGGAAACGCTCTTGATTATGCAAACGCTTTAGATAGTCGTTCAGACAATATCCCCTTCTGTACATGCGTTTTAGCATCAGGTAACATTATGTACCATCTGTGTACTCAAATGTACCTTCACGTAGGTTACTCATGCTTCGCTAACTAATACGAAAAACATATTTTTTGAACCAACGACGGTCGACGATCTGTTAGGAATGCAACCTCTTGAAAAGTTTGACTGTGATTGAAATCTACATAATATAGAGCAAATTCTTTGCTCGGGTCCCTATATATTGTGCAATATCTATCACAGTAAACACGCCTTAATTTGAACTCATGAATCAAAGGTTTACATACCTCTTGAAAACAACCCTTTCAATTTGTAATATTTTAGACCTTGCATTAGTTCATCGTTATCGTATTCACAGACTTGAACAGGTTCGTATGAGCCGATAAGAGACAGACCCTAGTAAAATGAAAATCATACTATTTTTACCATAAACTCTTCATTAGGGCCGCATCATTAGACTATAAGGTGTATGCAAATATGACCATGGTCGTATTCGCCATTTTCCGGCGAATATATGACCATGGTCGTACATTTCCCATTTTCCGACGAATATATGACCATGGTCGTATTTGCCATTTTCCGGCGAATATACGACCATATAAGAGATATAAGAGAAAACATACTCCGAAAATAAACATCTTGTAAACCCAAGATATGAGTTGTTAAAAACAAGACACAATAATCAAGGTGATATTTCGACTCTATTTCAAAGTCATTGTATATAGTCATATGACCATGTCATATGACCATATATTATAAAGTCATATGACCATGGTCGTATATTTGCCATTTCCTAGCGAATATATGATGGTCGTACATTTGCCATTTTCCGGCAAATATATGACCATGGTCGTATATTTGCCATTTTCCAGCGAATATATGACCATGAACGTATATTTGCCATTTTCCAGCGAATATAAGACCATGGTCGTAAAATTGCCATTTTCCGGCGAATATATGACCATGGTCGTATAATTGCCATTTTCCAGCGAATATAAGACCATGGTCGAGTTAGCCGTTTTCCGGCGAACTCCACCATGGTCGAATTAGTCGTTTTCCGGCGAACTCGACCATGGTCGAGTTAGTCGTTTTCCGGCGAACTCGACCATGGTCGAGTTGGTCGTTTTCCGGCGAACTCGACCATGGTCGAATTAGTCGTTTTCCGGCGAACTCGACCATGGTCGAGTTAGTCGTTTTCCGGCGAACTCGACCATGGTCGAGTTAGTCGTTTTCCGGCGAACTCGACCATGGTCGAATTAGTCGTTTTCCGGCGAACTCGACCATGGTCGAGTTAGTCGTTTTCCGGCGAACTCGACCATGGTCGAATTAGTCGTTTTCCGGCGAACTCGACCATGGTCGAGTTAGTCGTTTTCCGGCGAACTCGACCACGGTCGAGTTAGTCATTTTCCGGCGAACTCGACCATGGTCGAGTTAGTCGTTTTCCGGCGAACTCGACCATGGTCGAGTTAGTTGTTTTCCATCGAACTCGACCATAGTCGAATTAGTCGTTTTCCGGCGAACTCGACCATGGTCGAGTTAGTCGTTTTCCGGCGAACTCGACCATTGTCGAATTAGTCGTTTTCCGGCGAACTCGACAAGTTAGTCGTTTTCCGGCGAACTCAACCATGGTCGAGTTAGTCGTTTTCCGGCGAACTCGACCATGGTCGAATTAGTCGTTTTCCGGCGAACTCGACCATGGTCGAGTTAGTCGTTTTCCGGCGAACTCGACCATGGTCGAATTAGTCGTTTTCCGGCGAACTCGACCATGGTCGAATTAGTCGTTTTCCGGCGAACTCGACCAAGGTCGAGTTAGTCGTTTTCCGGCGAACTCGACCATGGTCGAGTTAGTCGTTTTCCGGCGAACTCGACCATGGTCGAATTAGTCGTTTTCCGGCGAACTCGACCATGGTCGAGTTAGTCGTTTTCCGGCGAACTCGACCATGGTCGAGTTAGTCGTTTTCCGGCGAACTCGACCTTGGTCGAGTTAGTCGTTTTCCGGCGAACTCGACCATGGTCGAGTTAGTCGTTTTCAAATTTTTGCACAACGCTTTGAAGTACCTTCTTTATACGTTGCAGATATTTAAAACTATGACGTCATAGGGCCACAGAAAAAAATTCGCCCCGGGCCCCACAATTTCTCTCGGCGCCTCTGGGTGTATGTTTTGAAAAGATTCGTGTTACTAACCTGTTGACTCAATAGATGAACATGATTGTAACTTGAACAGAATGCCTTTTCCATTCCAATCCTCGACAAGGCTAGAACATAACTTCCGCGTCCCTGGAAAACAATTTAACCAGGGATTTATCACATCACAAATTGTAAATGCTGAAAACGGAAATGGTCGGGATGTCAGACAATCAGATTCGTCAAACAATCCTAAACTTAGGGCCTGTTTATATGATCCCGCCTAGCCGGGACAGGACAGTTTCCGAGATCCCGCTTGTAATACAAACACTAATTAGTGTTTATATGACCACTTTTCCATCCCGCCTAGGCGGGATCCCGGCACTTCTTGCCGGGATCCCGCTTAGACGGGACGAGAAATTGCCATATAAACACTCCATCCCGCTTGGCCGGGATGATTCGCGATTAACATAAGCCCCGTTTACACTACACTCGATTTATTGGCACGGCACGGCTAAACTGAGTACCCGTGCCCATTTCATTCGTGCCCGGCCTTTGTTTTGGTAGCCTGAACACTAATAAAATTGGGCACGGGTACCCATTTTAGCCGTGCCGTGCCGATAAATTCAGTGTAGTGTAAACGGGGCTTTACATTAGGAGCATGTGTATATATTGGCATAGTCGTTTTCTACAATAAAACATGCCGTCGAAGGAACCTGCACTACAAAATGAACTCCATATAAACACGCCATCCCGCCTAGGCGAGTTTCCCGGCTAAGCGGGATAAAAACATCCCTTCCCGGCTAGACGGGATCATATAAACGGGCCCTTAAGAACTGTTTTTCGATAAGAAACGAGCTTACCAAAGAAGATTTCTGTATGAACAGTTTTCTAAAATGATGAACCATGCTGAGGTCTCGCGGTTTCAACCAATCGTTCGTTTCTGGATTCTTAAGCGACGTTTTCCAGAAAAAGCCATTAAATTCGTCTGCCGCGAATAAAACAGGCATTCTGCAGAAAAAATATAAAAAAGGACATCTTAGGATTCTTAGTCATGTCACAGGCTTTATTTCTGCAATATCACAGTTTAAGGATATATCCTTAAACTGTGGCAATATGCTGCATGCTGGCTAAAATCAACATGAATTGGACTAAATTTCTCAAACTCACCGACTGCTTAGTCGTTGCACTTCTCTGAGCGTGATTCCCACAGCATCCGTAGCAAAATTCGGTCGATGGAAAGCCTGTTCATTTAGCAAACATTATCCTTTACCAGTGTGAACTAGTTTTATCTTAAATCAAAGTCTCCGAGCGTGTACCTGGTCAATCACTGTGGAAATACGGCTTCCAGCATCGATGGAGATTTTTTGACTAACTTTGTAGTCTTTTGAAGTCTTTATCTATCACGAAATAAACACGATGTAGTGTTTCAGCCGTAGAGCAAACACAACATCATCAAATGCACTAAGAAGCAGTCGTTTTTTTACTATAGCTACCTGAGGCAAATGCTTGCCATTCAACGTTTGAAACATCTTCAACCATGTCAGTGCTTCGTCAGGCTGATCAAACCGCTCCGGATTATGGGGAGAAGGCAGGATGTTTTGTTTACTAAAAACTATCTTGAACACTAAAAGATATGCAATTCAACAGTCCTTATTCAACTGATCTCAACTCAAGAGGCCCTGTATGACATCATGGATACAGGATACTACATTCCACTCACCACTGGGAATGAACAGTATAAGCCATTCTTTAAGAAAACAATTATGAAGAACATGTGATAGCGTCATAGTTTTACCACAACCATCTTGACCATCTGTGAAATTAGTGAGTTTAAGAGAAAGTGCATTACTGCAGCCCAATAAAGGCAAAATATGTCTGACATTTATGATATATTTGGTAAAGTGAACATGAACTACTTGAATATAGTTGAAATATAATATAAAAGATAGGTACATACAAATCACATATTTCGAAGCACCAGATTCATCTGACTTAATGCTCTCCAGGATTGAGATGGCTGGCTGTCTGATCATGATGTTAAACTCTCCCAATGTCTTAACCTATGAGGCAAAATCAACACATATGAGGCAATAGAATAGGCAAGGTTAAGCGTAATGACTCACCCAGTAATGGTGATGTTAGCTAATGTTAGCTAACCTAGCTGGTACTGATTATACGTATCAAAATGAATTATTTTTCACAAAGTCTGTTCTCAAATACCTCATCCAGAAACGGTGGTTTAGGCAAACCATGAGAGAATAAAGTCGTCACTGTTTCTTTGGGAATGGTGTAATACTCTCTAACATGACTGGACGTTTGATTTCCCTATCAAAATTCAAAATATCTCCCATCAGGATCCATGCACATGCATCAAGTAATGCAAAATCACACAAATCATGCATATTCAGCATTAGTTTAAACAGTAAAGCACTCACAGGATTTTGTTCAGAGCATTTGACATCAAAATTTGCATGACTTTCTACAGCTGAGCTTTCTGTTGCAGTCACAGATGACAAATGCCTCTCTAATATGCTTTTGTGGTGTTTTAAAACCTACGGGAAACATTAATGTTTAAGGTAGAATGAAAAAAGAAAGAATATTAGACAGAGGGAGAGGTGAGAGGGGTGCAACCTCATAACCAGGGTTTTTTCTCTGTGCTCACTCTGGGGGGGGTGGGTTAAGAGGGGTGTTGTGGAGGGGAGAAGGGGGTGGGAGAGCAGAAAGGGATAGAATGGGTCCAGAAAAAGGCTGGATGTAAGAGATGGTGGTAATAGGAGTTTGAGCTAATCATGAGTTGTGAGAGAAATTCAATCCTTGAATTTTATTTCTGACACAACATTATCGTCAATTAGTGTCTATATTTCAAAGTAATTTAGTATGATAGGGCTATACTGACCCTATAGTATAAAAGGGTACGTAATATAACAATATTATTGCTGAATAAGCACTGGAGTTTGGATGAATGTCAACATATTCATTCAGCACGTACAAGTGGGAAACATATTCACAAAACAAATGCATATAATAAGTATTTAAAATGAGGTCTAACCTGACGAGAACGTCGCAAGATAAGTCTAGAAAAATACACCATTATAAAACTTACGAGCTAGTGACCAGGCTTCCTCTTCGCGCGCGACCAAGGGAACTGACCGAGGAAAACAGAAAACTCACTTATCAGACTTCTTTCACCTTTTTCTGAACTCTTTTGTCTGTTTTGTGACACTGGCCAACTGAAGAGCTAGACTGCTAATCTAGACTCAACAACAATTTTCTCGAAGAAAGAAAATCCGCTTTGTAACTGTAGTGTCTGTAGTTTGTCAAGCCCTACAAAATAGAGAATGGTACAATCCATTATGACCGCTTTATGCAAAGAATCCGAATAACCTTTAGGTTCCACTTGGAATTATTTTCCTCCAAAGTTCAATAGCATTCGAATAGGATAATGTAAATTCCAATTGGAACTTAGGTGATTTTCTAATAGAAATTACTGACTGGAATTCCAATTGGATTTATTCGTCAAGTCACGATTCAGTGATCAGAATGTCCTATTGTATTTTTCACTGTTTTAAACCTGTTTTGGCCTGTCATTTGTTTCATTCCTGGAGCTACAATCAGTAAACGCAGCTAGCCTCAGCGCTCATAGGTACCCCTCAGTAAGGGCCAAACTAAATCGATTTTGACTGGAAGCTTAGCGATGGCAAATGAAGGCAGAGCAAGACAAAACTATCAGTACGGAAAACCTTTAATTGCTGGCATTAAAAACGAAACTTTGGCAAAAGGTAAATAAGCCGATAAAAGATGGTCTGCATGGTAGTTTGCAGTCAAAATTATTGTTGAAATATTTTGTCACTATGGCGCTAAGACTGCGATTTTAGCGAGAAATCTAATGTCCTGATCATATTTGTAACGCAGAATAGAATGAAGGGGTTCTTAAAATGCCCTCCCCGTGAGAAAAAGTAGGAACTATAGGTCTATAGCCTGGTGTGATTGTTTTCTTGTTCTGCAAATTGCAAAACCGGCCGGCGAGCTCCAGTTACATCAGAGATCAGGGCTTTGGGCAGGGTTGCACGCACGTGACCGACAATAGTAGACGTCATACTGGCAAATATCACTTCGATCCGTTTCGAAATCTTCGAAAGTTGTCTTGTCCACTTTGAAAAGCGAAATTTGTCAAGATGAGCGCTAAGTTACAGCACTATAAAGACGAAATCAATAAATTTCTAAATCAAGACAATGCCTTTTGCAACGGCTTGGCGAAAATCGAAGAGAAAACCAAAGTTAACCGTCTCCACATCTTCCTTGGTAATTATGTTTGCAAAGTCTCCGGATTTGTCTCGCCACATTTCTCAAAGTGGCATAAAAAATTAACGTGGCTTTTCTTTTTTTAGGTGCCATAGGCTTATTCTCGTTGTATTTGATCTTCGGCTACGGTGCTGCTTTAATTGTGAATGCTCTGGGCGCTATGTACCCGGCATATGCCTCGTAAGTGATGTTGAAAAACTGAAAATTTTTTTGCATTAATGAGATGAAACGGCGGTCTAACCAAGCACAAAATTTTGAACTTTGAACCGGTTTGCTAATATCTGGTTATGTCGTCGTTAAATCTCCCCGAAACATTAATATTTCAGAAGGTTTAGGCAATAAATTTCATGCGCTAAACATGCTTTAAAATGTTTTTAATGGAATTAAATTTTCGAGATATACATTGGGCTGGAATTGGACAAACTACCTGCCGAAATTCATTTGAATATGCAAGTTGACAAGCATAATATTAATGATGGGAGGGGATCTGTATTAGTGCAATGTAATCATAAAAAATTATTCTCCAAATCAGAAATTGCATTTACATAATGTTTTCTCATACAGGCAGGCTTGAACCAGAATTTTTGGTTCAAGCCTGCCCAGACAGTTACCATCTATAGACAACCTACCATAGTTTGCGCAATTGAAAATAGAATGATTCGATTTTTACAGAGTTAAAGCTGTCGAAAGCATTGACAAAGATGATGACACACAGTGGCTTATTTATTGGATTGTCTATGCTGCATTCACTGTTGTTGAATATTTCTCTGATTTTCTTTTCTCGTGGTTCCCATTCTATTTCCTTGCCAAGGTAATGTGACATTCCCATTGGCTGAAAACAATTTGCATTGTTCTGCTTCCATTTCCTGGAATCTATATTTCAAATGCTATTGTTCTACGCATCCACTTACCAAACTCATACTTCAAGGAAATTTGAACATACCTTTTGTGTATATTTTGTGAATCCCGTTTCCACCTCTTGCAGTTGATTTTCCTCTGCTGGTGCATGGCTCCAATCTCTAGCAACGGAAGCACTTTCATCTATCACCGATTCATCAAACCTTTCGTTGTGAAACATCAATCCGAGATTGACGAGGCCTTGAACGAAGCAAGATCAGCCGCAAGCTCTGCCGCAAACACTGCTATGGATCAAGGTAGTTTAAAAATGGAACAAAGGACTAAATAACATTGAACTGAGCTCCATGACAGAACCTTTTTATTGCTCTTTATTATAGCCAAGAATGAAGCCATGAAGCAATACCTCCAACAGCAAGAACAGAATGATGAGGAAAAGATAAAAGACATGTAGAAGAGTTCACACAAACAAGCAACACACAGATTCACATGAATTGCTCTTCCAAATTAATGGGGCCAAACACATGATTTGAAGGCAGACAAACAGATTTTGTATTTTTCTTTGAACATTTTAGCCTAGATTGAGGAAACGTTTTGATGATAACACATCACATGCATATGCATTTTGGGATCAATCTAGTCGAACTTTGAGGAACTGTTTTTGTGTCTAGCATCTTGAATAATTTAATACTGGATGGTAGCTTTTTATTAAAACAGAGTGTTTGTGACTTTATATGTTATACAGTACCTATTTAGTTTTGCATGATTTGTAAAATGGCAAGAATAAAATACATAAACTGAGCAGCTATTTGATCATCACTTAAACTTCCCAACAATGCTTTAAAAGTTTGCAAAATCACTTGGGTGTCAATGCTCTTTATATTGTCTGATTTTAATTCATAATTAAGTCTCCACTAGTTCATAATACAATTACTGAGCTAATTGCCCATTCTTGATGAGGGGCTGGCACAATATATTGTTGCCACTAGAAACAATGGTATATTACTGGTATAAAAAGTGACTATTGAATATACATAAACTACAATTTAAATTCCTACGACCTTATTTTATATTACGTAGTCTATAAGTGATACAACCTTACTTGCTTCGAAACATTCTCTTGACTGTGTCTTAAGCCTTAACAAATGATGTTGAGAAATCCCGATTTGGCATACAAATGGGTGCAACGAGTGTCCAGAGGTACAACACAACACAGACCCAGCCAGTGATGATTTTCACCCAGAATGCTCCCCATGTCCCTTGAACATTCTCTGTGTCTGACACATCAGGCCTGTGAAAACAACATAAGTGTTAAGAGACTGACTGGACTGACTATCTATCCCAGTAAACATTACATATTACAAAAAGGATTGTTTAACCCTGGATTAATAACACACTACCCATGCTGCATGGTGGAATTTATCGACATGGGGCAAAGAATTCTTTACTTACTCAACCCAGTTTGTCATCACCATCATGATGTAGAGGGCAGCAAGAAGATAAATAAAATGGAAGAATGAATAACTGTAGACAACTTCTTCCTCTTCATCATTTACAACTTTGCCTTTCTCTTCATCTAAATCTACTGTGGAAAGAAACTCACTGAGATCTTTGGTCACTTGAACAAGAAATATAATTTATAAACACCCTAAGACTTATTAAAAATTGCACACAACAAAAAAAATTAATTTAGTTACAAAATGTACCTGGAGCAGTGGTGTTTGTGGAAAATTTATCTGCACTTCCAGATGTCTTCAAACTAAGAATAAAGTTACAATTAGTTTTCACTACATTTACATACATATATTCACAAGAATGTTCAATGGAAAAAATCAATGTATTTTATAGTTTTACCTTGAATAAATGATCATGACAAATGTCACAACCAGCCCAACAATCATGGTTGTGTTTTTAGATCCTCCAAAATTTGTGCTTTGAACATCACACGAGGTTGAGGTGGAGTTGCTCGACGCATCTGCAACATAAGATAATTTGTAACAATGATTTAAAAATTATTACATTTATCAAGACTATATACATTACTTATTACATACCAGGTAAGTCATAAGGCTCGTTAGCAACAGATGTCAATGTGATGTAAGAAAGGAAAAGAGAGATGATGGAGGATTGCAAAAGACCAGATTTGGGCTGAACTGAAAAATAAAAAATGTATACCATTTTTAGACTATTACATCGTTAGTGGCTCAAAAAATTATAAATATATTCAATTATTCAGAATGTTTCAGAGGCAATCATGTACTACCGTTAATCAATATGTGAATTATTTAATATTCATCATCTAAGATTTCTACCTTCCTGTATTTTTGGTAAAATGGAAACCCCCAACATAAGAACGCAGGTAATCAGGTTGAAACTGATTATAAATCTGTTCAAATCGCAGCCTTCACTCTAAAATGCATTGTGTTAAGAAAAACATTTAGAATAAGGACTATAATATAACTTCCAATTGTCTCACCCCTTGGAAACCAGACATAAACCATGCACTCACTGTTGTAAAGACATAGGCTAGAATGAAGCCAGTCAAGGCAAAACCAAGAAACACAAATACGAATGTACCAAGAGCTGAAAAACAAAGTTATTCAATGTACGTAGAATGGAAATTTAAATAAATGAATGTCAATGAAATTTATCCACTAGTTAATACAAACTAGATAAAGTAGAGTAAAGATATTCACCTGCCAACCATCCTTTGTTTCCAGTCTCTTCAGCATTGTTAGTCCTGTTAAAATAACAACATATTTCAAGACAATATAACCTGGATGTTTTAACACAATATATAACCTGGATTTCAAGACAATTCAACCTGGAGGACTTCAATACAATTAACCTGGATTTCAAGGATGAGGTTGCTTGTTATTGTTATATATTAAATATGCTTACCAAACTTCATTCCAGGTATGAGCAAAATCAATCAACAGCATCACCTGAATCACAATGAACAACAATCCACCAACCAAACCAATGTACATCCATGCTAAAAAGGAATAAATATAAACATTTATTTCCAGGCAATTGCTGCATCAGCAAGAAAGCTCCAAGATGAAGCTTATTTGTGATAAATCAGATTTGATCTCACCTTCAGCAAATTTATGACTTTTCACCCAAAATGACCAGAGACATAGGACAAAAAGAACAAGGAACTTGATCCCCCAATACCTAACATAACAAAAATATTACATAATGAATACAGTTGCATAATAATAGTGCAGCGTAACAATGGTGATTTGTTGCCTTTGTGATATCAAGAAATATTTTAGTGTGTCATATATACAAGTAGTTCAAATGAGACCAAATATATATGTGCCCTAAATTTCATAAAAACTGACAGTAAAAAACTCACAGGATTGCAAAAAGACCTAAATTTAAACATCATATTTACCCATTTTGGATTCCTGCCCGGCATTCTTTTTGTGACTTCACTCCAAGCGTGATGATCATGAGAAGAACATGAAATATGGCAAAACCAAGGAAAATTCTATACACAGACAAGTAACCCATTATCTCTTCACACTTTCCACCGCTCTCATCGCAAATCTTATCATGAAATGGAAGCTGTAAAAAAAGCAAGATAATATGTGAGTTGGCTACGTAATCAGCTTCATGAAATTTGTCATTGAGGTTGAAATAATGTCTGTGGATATGGATTTCTACCAAGTAAATTTAAGGTTTGTTTAACTTTTAATTTCTGCTGCAATTTTTTGTGGGATTTTCCTCTTTTGACAGATAGAAACAAGTAAAAAGTTATGAATGCTCTAATGTATAAGAAATTTGTACATCTGTACATATTCATTTGTACATATTCATCTGTACATATTCATTTGCACATATTCAATTGGCAATGGGAGTATTCAACTGACATGTTCTTTCAAGCTTTCTGCCACGTTATCTGATGATAATATTGCAGATATGATGACACCAATGAGAAGGAAGAAGGTATACATGATCCTTGTCGTAACTGAGCTGCGACATGATGGACAGCACGAACAACAGCAGCTGACTGCAGTTGATCCACAACAACATGCAAGCTGAAAAACATATCAAAGAAAACTGTCAATGCTTTTGCAGGAGAGATACTTTTGACAAACAGGAAAACTTTCAGTATGACGTCATATCGTGGACATTTAATATTGGTTTTACTTGTAACTTTCATTTATAACAAATTTTTAATATTTCATATAGTCGCGATCGAAACCACGACACCAGCATATGTAGATATATACTTACAGATCCAACAACACAACCCATTTTAATGGTGTTCTGAAAGTTGACAAAAACAGTTTAGTAATTGATATAAATTTATATGTACTTTACTAGTTTAGTACTGACAGTAATATAATCAGCTGTTGAAAATAACGCGTTTTGACAACAAACAATGACAGTTTTATCGAAAGAATAACAAGAATAAAACGATATAGTAAAGGTAATGTAAAAATCTACATTAAAAGATCACCTTTTATTCCCTTTCTGTTGTGTTTTGTTAAAAATTTCAGACAAGATACAGCAAACAACAAGTGTCCTTCTGCGAAATCGTAATAATAAACAAGAAGGTGGATATTTAGGAACATATGTCTACATGTAGGTACGAGCGCGAGTTAATCCAAAATTGTACATAAGAGTCATGATAAAGCCATAAAGGAGTACAAAAAGTACAAATGAAAGTAATAATTTTCATACATCAGGCGTCTTTAGAGCATTTTAATCTGTTTATTTTTTCTCGAGTAACTAGCATTCTACAATATTCTAGCCTATTAGAATATTAGAAATCAATTAAAGCTTCTAAGTCGCTCTTTGACGCTCGACTTGAACGAGACGCGAAAGCGTTACGAAGTAGCAGTTCTGTGAGACGAGATAAACGCCTGTTTGCATAATGAACTGCCTCTTTGAAATCGAGGTCTAAAGCCATACGTTGTGCTTTTTTTCCGTACTCGAAAGCCCATGTGAGGGCCTGCCTCTCCCCAGCTGGGCATCGTGAAAGTGTGGAGCGCTTATAACTCAAATCAGATTGCGCTAGTAAAATTTCGATTTCTTGGAAATGCGTAGGCTTGATTCCATCAAGGATCGAGCCTTGGACCGCCTTCAGTTCCGATGCAGCCAAGTCGGATGTCAGACTTAGTCACGATGCCCTGTTCTAAGGTTCCCCGCTTAGAGAACACCCTAAGTGTGCCATTGCCGAGTAGATGTGCGCCTTTTGCTTGAGATCAGCAGTACTTCTTGGATATTGATCTTGGTCAAGTGTATTTGCGTCTCTCAGAGCAGCCTGGAGATATGCTTGATTTTCATTTGCAAGATCATTGTATCTTTGAGGATCAGTCTCTTTGCTTGCCAAAATAGAGGTTACAGCAGCAGCATGAATATAGAACCATACTGTAAGAAACTCGGGTGGAATAGACTGCATCATTTGCAAACCCTCTTTCGCTGTTTGGTAGCTTTTTTCATGATCTCCCTCAGCACGTTCATTCCTGCTCCTCAAACAAAGTCCCCTTACGTCGAAAAAGGTCATATCCTTCACGTCGGGAGCTTGTATTGCAGTGGAAAAGTCATTAAGGTAGCCTCTTGCTTCTGCGAATTCGTTATTCTTACACGCGATTGCGGCCCTCTCTGCTGCTACCACCAACTCAGCGCAACTCCCAGGAAACTTTCTCATGGATATTTCACAGAGCTTGTTAAAATCCTTTATATTCTTGTCATTCCTAAATTGAACAAGTTTAGACGTCAGAAGCTGATAAATCTTCCGGTTCTTTGCCGAGCTCCAGGTTAAAAGCGGCATTGTTGATGGAACAGGATCCGCCGGTGCATCCAATTCGACTGGAAAATATTCCTCCCAGTCTTTCTTCCTTTCCACTTTCCCGTCCTTGATATGGTACATGTCAGGCATTTTTGTAAACACACCACCGGGACAGCGAGCTATGGCGATGACAACCACATAGGTCGATGCAATTTCCCTCCCTTCACAATCTTTAATAGGTATAAACATTATATCCCATTGTTCACCCTTCTGTGGCTCACCGCAGTATCTAGGCCAGATCATCCCCTTGATAGCTTTCGCGACCTTTTTTGTAATTTCAATTTGATCTTTTTCCCTCACTTTCTCCCCTTCTACAACACCACAATCGTTGATGCCATAATAAATATGGCCGCCGGACAGGTTAGCATAAGCGGAAACATAGTGGGAAAATTTGTTAGATTTACCTGTGATACGATCAGCCAAAGTGAGGGTGGTGTGCGTGCCTTCGGATTCCTCGGATTTGAGATTTTTCCATTGGATGTTAACATCTTCATCGAAATTTACGCGTTGATTTTGGACAAAATCTGCATAAAAGGACCCAGGAGTAAAGAGTTTCTTGACTGGTTTACACTGGCTGTTGTTTAACAGTTTTCTTACCATACCAATAGGCTGTGATGACGGAATTGCTTTGACCTGAGATTTGGTTGAAACGTACAAATTATAATTGACGACAAACGGTCCTTCGGCTTTCTTCACTTCGACGAGAATTTCATTGGGATTCGCTTTAAATTTTACTACGGAAACCAAAGACACAGTTCCTATTAGGTCGTCCACCTTTTGTTCTATGGTCCTAACGCAAGAATCAAGCTGTTTTCTCGTCGATATACTTTTGAACAGAAGCTGAATCAGTCCACCCTCTGTGTTTAACAGCGCGTTGATTGCTTTAATTATTTCATTCATGATCTCATCTTTGTAGCTTTTCTTTTTATTCACGTCTCTTGGGCATATTTCTGTGAACGTGATTGACGTTCTAGGGCATAATTGATTTCTCGAAGACTGCATGATTGACTGCAGTCTGCAGGCTGGTAACACGTCAGCTTTTCGCGACTTCACCTTATGCAAACAACAACAAAAATTTACTGCATTACAAAGGTTCCGTTTACCCTACAGACAATTTATTGGCACGGCTATTGATTGCTACACCGTACATGTACCAAATTGTATTAGTGCTCAATGTCTCAGGCTACAGACTCCCAATGGAGACTACTGTATTTGGTACTTTATTTGGTAGACTTATTTAGTACTCGGTTAAACATGTCAATTGTCGAAGTCGTCGGCCATTGTGAAAATAAATGGGGCTTCCCCTTTTCATATATATGAATTTCATGAATTTCATATATAAGTGAAATATAAGTGGAAGAATATAAGTGAAAATCTGAGAATCAAAGAATTCTCAGGTATGTGACGACAAAATTAGCCTGCGCAGCTGTGTATTTTCTCACCGCGGGTTCCCTTGTTTTTGGCTCAAATGCGTCGCCACAAAGCCATATTATCTATCCATTTTGCATTATAATTACTTCGTTGTTACACTCGAGGTCACACTAACATCGCGTTCCTATATACTGCCTTATAACTGCCCTAATTGTCCTCGTAGAGAGGGACTGAATTGGATACATCCTGGAGTACACGAGCTTCGCAAATGGCTCTGTATTTTCTATAATGAAACATCTAATTCATTATTCACCTGTGCTTTTCGGCTTGGCGTATGTGCTTTATATGACCAGAATTAATCAATTGTTCTACTATTAGTTTTTGTTGATAACCTACCTTAAAACCAACTTCAAAAGTTCGGCTTTGTCAAGTTTTCAGCACATTACGTTCGTATTCGTTGCACGTTTTGCCTCTATATTGACACATTGTATTTGTTGCAGTAGACAGTGCCTTAGAGACGCTTTAATGTGGTTGTGTAATCACGAATGAGCCTCATTCCCAGGCGTTTAACGAAACTCACTACATAAGTAGTCTAATTAACTACTAACTACTAAAGTATGATGACATTATCCAAAACTTGGCATATTTTAACGATTAAACCTGTTTATGTGCATCATGCATCAATAATAATACTGCTGTTATTTCCATCGTTTTTCCAAGGATAAAATTTATAGACTCTTTTCGGTAAACAAAGCCAGAGTGTATGTAAAACCATAGACAATCCAAAAGACATGTCTTTTGGATTGTTGATGGTAAAACAAACTAAATATGGGTTCCTAACATTAGCGGCTGCGTCCATATCGGGATTTGGTTCATATTTCCAAAACAATATTCTGAACAAACTCTACGGGTTTATTGTGAAGTATTTTTAATTCCGATGGTGAAGAAATTTGATACCAAATTCTGGAATCATTGGTCATGACCTGGGAGCCTCTGTCGACTAGATCTAGCGCGAACACGGAGGGAAACGTAAATCTCCAACAATCCCCTTCTACCCTGCATTACCCCAGTGTTTCCCTATGTTGTATTTATCATGGCGGAAAAAAAATGAAAAGTGGTTGAAATTGATTTCGCTGTTGTTTGAAAATGGTGAATGTTCGTTTCCGCGGCGTTGAGTTAGAGGAGTCTGCTAAGTCTGAGGAAGCAAGAAGACGTAATCCAACCGCAGAAGCTGAAAGAGAGTTTCTTAATTCCGTAGGCGAAGCGTATTTACCTGAGGCTGCTGGAATAGGTAGTTCATCCTTCCACTTTCAACTATGTCCACGATATTCACCTCGTTTTTGGTTTGATATTTTCCCTGTGTTTCTGTAGAGAATTGGCAACGTTTAGCAGGTTTCAGCATCGGTATTACAAGGTATATAACTGATATTTTTTGAATTTTTTTTTATGAATAATTGAATGGGATTTCTTTTACATAGTTTGCTGATTGAGGACTTTCTGACACATCCATTTATCGTTGTAAGAAGGCAATGCATGGTATGAAAGACTCAGTAATCTTCTAGTTTTGAAATGCAGAGTTATTCCCCTAATCTGTTTCCTTTATAGTCATATTTGTTTTTAGGTAAATAGCTCAGCTGTCCTGTACCATCTTGCCCCATTTTCTGTCTGCCGTGTCATGCTAAAGATCAGAAGAAAACAGGTATCTACCCCACTAAAGTTAAAAGACTCCCATGAAAAGTTAGCTTTTCATCCCCCCTGAAAAGGGTAGCACTTCTATAATCACCCCCCTGAAAATTGGAATCTTGCAATGAAAAAGTTATACCACTTGCTGATTGATGTCACCCCCTAACAAATATATTATGCACCCCCCCCCTGAAAAGTTAGGTTCTAACCTCAGCAGGTAAGACTTCCAACACATCATGGGTGTTTCTCTTCTCAGGGTCTGAGTACTTTTTGGAAAGGCCAAGGCAGTAAGCTTGCTGTAAGAGGAATGAATCTTCTGGCAGAACTATTGATCAGTGAAGTTACACATGAGAGACTACCAAGGTGAGCTTGTGCTAGCAAGCAAACACAAGAAAGGTCTCCAACAGATCTTGATTGAGGCATGTATATTCTTATTAGGGACATCAGTAGCCCATCATCAACTATAACTCAACTAGTTGGACATATCATTGGCAAAAGGTGGGTATTTTACCTTCACAGTGAAGATGATATTTCATATTTTCCCAGTTACAGCGTAGAGTACATTCCCATCAGGGACAAAAACGCGCATATTTATCTTAAAACGCGTGTCTTTTTCAAGCGCGGAAGTTTTATGCACGACTTGTACTTTTCCTGGGACAAAACCAACCTAAAAATGCGTACTTTCTTTTAGTATCAGCATCGTCTTGACTTTACCATTTTACAGTGCAAGTATCACTGAGACAGTCGAGGTTGGTGGAACACGAGACTTTGAATTATCTTTCTTACTAGTAAAAACTCTTGAATTCTTGACTTTCACCTGAAGTCCTTGTCTGTATCTCTTCAGACCGAACAGATTAAGAAGCAGCGTAGTCCCTTCGCCTTCATTAAAGAGGGAATCTTCCGTCTTATTGGCTGGCAAAGCTCGACCCAGGGTCACGGTCGTCTTCTGCCGCTCTGGGCCTTAGTGGCACCCACAATGCTTCATGGTCTTGTACATTACGTCATCGCCAGCTGCTTACAACACATCATCCTCGCTCGACACAAAAAAGTCGGAGTATTTCGTGGGGAATCGGAGAACCCCGAACAAAGTAGGCCGATGGTCGAAGCGTATTTCCCAGAACTCATGGCGAGCTTAACCGGGACCGTCCTCACTGAGATCCTTCTGTATCCCCTCGAGACCGTCATGTACCGTCTTCACCTGCAAGGTACACGAACGATGATAGACGACACGGACAATGGATTTGCAGTTGTGTCACTCTGCACTAACTACGACGGACTCTTAGATTGTTTTTCACGCATAAAATCCGAGGAAGGACTTCAAGGATTTTATAAAGGTTTCGGGGCGTTGTTATTGCAATATCTTGTGCAATTGCTTGTCCTGCGCATTACAAAAGCCATTTATACGGTGATTTCACAAGATTTCAGAGGGGACAGTGCTAATGTTGATAAGTAAACATACCCCAGCTAGGTTTTGATGCATGCGTTACAATGCTATGATATATGGTGAAGGGTCAAATGTATGAGGGAAGTTTAACAGACAATATATTTGTCCACTTGTTGGGTTCACCTCGTGTTCTGACAAATAGTTGTAATGATAATATTTGCCATAGTTACCAGCTTCATTGAGAGCTAAGGTACCCTTAAACTTACCACCTTACATGGTTTGAACCCACGGAAAGCATGCTGAATACGCATTAGAGAGTCGTATGCTTTCTCGTGTCACAATTCCTAAGGAATCGAAGGCTGTGTATGTGTTTAATGAAACTATTAAATTAATGTATGTATTGTTGACGATATCAGTATATTTAATCAGTATGTGTTATTCACCAATCTAGCAACATTGCTCTGTACAATTAATATATCTACAATAACACATATGGTCATCAAGAACCCTGAATGTATTTTGTGCTCAAATTGTTATCGCAACGGTTACTCTAATAGTCGAAGCATGTGATCAATTTGTGAGTCACATGATGAAATTCTCGTGGCACGTGATTAAATCTTTAATCACGTGGACAAGTTTTGGATTCATGTGAACAAATTTGTACACCACGTGCTTCTTTGTTATTGTTCCCAGGGCATTTCTCTTGCCTTGGAAACAAGGCTGCTTGCGTGTCTGACGTGTTCACTCTTTTGCAAATTTGCGCGCTAGGATCATTGCGTCGATTTTCGCAAATACAGCATGTAGTCGTTAATACTTGAATGTTATAAAAACTGACGCTGATTACAAATCATCATTGTCGATGTTCGCCACATCATCCTGTGATATTACTTTTGGAGCCTTCCTGGACTTGGGTTTTTTCGAAGATTTACGAGGTTTTTCACTTTCGATTTCCTGCATGATAAAAATAAGAACACCTTTACACCATTGCCTGATAAACAATACGAATGTTGTGTCTCTCTAGTTTAGAATGAATGCATTTCGTTACCTCATCTTTTGTTTTCTCTGTTGAAGACGACAGTTCTCCATCTTTCTCATCACTTTCCTCCGCAGAGGGAAATACGACGTTTTCCTGAAAGTTGAAATGATTAAAATCATCCATATTGGAGTAAGATCATTTAAATCAAAACAAGCCCAGTTTAAGAACATAAATGAAGTTAATTCTAATTAATAAATTGTTTCTTCCGGTGTAAAAATTACTAATTACCTTTTTATTCAGCTCTCTTTCCTCGCAAATACGGCTAACACAGTCGTACATGTACTTGAACTACAAAAAAATATACCAGATATCTCACAAAACAATCCCTAAAGACACTGAAAAATACGAATGAGTGGGAACTATAAAGTTCACGTACATATGGTGATATGATTCGAACAGAACGCGGCTTTTTGTTGGGTCTTGAATATTGAAAATAGAAAGACATTCCTTCCTCGTCTTCATCCCAATGAACGAAATCTTCGTAGCCAAAAGTGTGTGTTAGAGGACAACAATAGCATGTATACGTTTCAAAAAGACAGAAAAAATCGACCTAAAAGATCGGTTAAACGTGATATACCTCCGGCTCTCCATCCACAGAACACGCTTGAAGGAAAATGCTGTTAAGATTGAAGGAAACTATGACATGGCCTTTTTTACGGGCATCGCATTCGCAATGTGGGAAGCGAACGCAACCATAATCTTGCAGTGATCTTGCAAGCTTTAAATACTGCAAAGAAACAACAATTACATATTGTCATTGTGATATTAACTTAATATTAAGTATGGTGCTTCCCAGAATTCTCACACAAACCTCGGCTTTCTTGCCCAAACTTTTATATTCTTCAAGTTTTTTGAACTTTTCATCTGACTTAATTTTTAACGTTCTTACATCGTCCACAGCCTAATAAAACGAAGGAAAAGGTTTATGGTAATTGAGTGTCAATAGTTATATGACATTGACAAACAAACAATGTTCTTGTATTCTACCTGATCGTAAAGTAAGTTGAATGCTAGTTCTTCATCATCCATTTCAATTTCCTACAAAGAGTTTATATTGTTTTCATCAAATTCTGGTTAACTTAGCTGGGTGCAGTTGTTATAGAAGGCTAGTTAACTTTTAACTGTAGTTAAGGACAGAATTGGCCAATCAGAGTTGTGTATCTCTGAGTTAACAACAGCCAGCTTCTGGACTGTTATAACACTTGCCCTTAGGAAAACCTACCCTTGGTAAAGTGAAAACCCATTTCCTCAATACAAGACAACTGGGCAGCTCGCTGGAATAATTTCTGATGTATATTGTGTGTGGAAATTCATTGTCTCTTAATTTTCGCTCTGCAAAAAAAGCACAAGATCAATATATGTCCTTGTGTTTTTATTTTAGGGTTTTCAAAGAAAATGACTCACCAAATGCTTTTCCAATAATTTCAAACAAAGCGAAGTACTTAGCAGATGCTTCGCTCATTCCAATCTTTTTCAAAAACGCCTGAAATACAAAATATCTCATTGCAATTCATTTGCAAATGAAGCACCTATAGAATTAGAATTACATACACAATTGTGGTTGTCATATCATGTTTGTGAATAATAGAAAAGCAATAGTTTATTAACCTGACCTTGCAAACATCCTGAGTTTGAAAACTTTTCTCAACCTTCACAGGCCTTTCTGTTTGGTCAGGTAAGGCAATTTTCAATTCCACTTCCAAATTATTGACCTGTACTTCCTGAAGGATGCGGAAATTGTTGGATATGTATGAATTATTTGAAGACACAAGAAGTATCATATTTCATGCCATTTAAATCAGTATTCCTATACCTCTGAAGATTTCATGAACTCTTTCATTGCATCGCAATCATGAATTATCCGAATTGATGTAACTGTAAACAAAGAAAGGATACATTGAGACCATCAAATGAACCAATCAATTAACACTAATTTAATATGGCAAATTATTAATTACCTTGTTCTAAATACAACTCCAAGGCCTTCCGTCGGTTATCCAGTTGTTGTTCAGATAACTGAAATGGCCACTTGCCAGGAAATTTAGGAAAATCATAATCTTGAAACTGTTTCTTCAGCTATACAAAATGAAGTGAAGTTAGAAAGCTAAATGTCATTCATTGCTACTCATTCTATGCCAATTTACTCATTTATGGTACCTCATTGTTTAAATTTGAAAATTCTTTGTATCGTCTAGAGCAGATATGTCTGTCATTGACATAGATATTAAACACCTAGAAAGTAGAAAAGCCAAATTATAAACTATTACATAACTTGCAGGAAATATGAGTATTGCAAGCACTGAGAACAAGTCTTACCGCATATTTCTCCCTTCCGTTATCAATCTGTCGTGTTTCTGGTATTGTGACAAATATTTGTCTTTTGTCTGAGTAATCAAAGTATTCTGGTGCCTGCCCATCCTCTGGTGGATCCAATTTTCTGACCTCGCTTGGCGGCAAGGATAACACAACCATCGAAAGCTTTCTTCCACCAGATTTGATCAACTCCACAACATGCTTATGCGTGGCTCCCTCAACATTCTCTTCATTGCTAAAGATAATAGAAATTTTCATTTGCATTGATTTAGAATAAGCTGGAGATTGAATAAAACATGTAGAAGCAAAATCCACACACAGTTAATCAAACATTTCTGGTCTAAGACAATTTCATTATATCTTTTCTCTGCAAGGCTGTATTAGGAATAGGATCACTGCTCTTCCTATAAGCAGTTTGCTGAACTGTCAAACTTCTTTGAGATTATAATTACAGTCA